GATTATTTCGTTGTCGATTTTTTTTGGCGCGTACCGTTCAAACCTTCAGGGTGGCCCAGTGTTGGCAAATTTTGCGCGGTGGTTGCACGACGAAGGTGGGCGCACCATAGAACCCTTCACGACAGCCCATCGTTGTAAAGATTTTCGTCGCGGTTGTAAGACGAGCGCGGGCACGGTGATCGCGCGCATTTGGGTGTTCACATTCGTTATGGCGCTCGCATGTGGTTCGCTAGACGTAAAATTTGTAAGGATCTTGGACGTGACAAATCTGTGATGAGCCTTGGCTAGGTCGTGTGCGGGCCTTCACTGGGTTCTGGGTAGGCCATGTATCAGCTCTTGAAAGGCCGCCAGGTAAGCCTGAGGCAGGCATTGGATAGGCCGTCGGGCTGAGCTTGGACAGGCCTGGGGGTTCGTGGGCAGGCATTGGGCAGGATCCGAGGGGAGCGGTGCTCTGGCGCCGCCTGGACCGCAGAAAGGAGACCCACCTTCTGCAGGCCCACGGCAACCTGGGGCTCCCCTTCACATTAGCTTGAGCTTGATGTTCTGCCTTCGCTGTGAGCGTCGCTCCATTTTCGATCCAAATTATTTGAAGTCCAGCTGTATGCGCTTGAGCTTGAACTTCCGCTCAACGCGCGGAAGCTTCGCTCCATTTTATAGTTCTCTTTTAGCTTGAGCTTGAACTTCCGCTCAACGCGCGGAAGCTTCGCTCCATTGCCATAATTTGTGGGAATGCCGAGACATTGGGTTTGCTCGAGGTGGGCCTTGGACGCTCTGGGTCGTCTAGGCCTTGGATAGGCGTAGAGTGCGTGAGGGGTGTGCCGAAATCGGGCCCATTGAGCCGTCTTGAGAGGTACGTAGCTGTTTCTTATGTCTTGTTTCGCCGATCGGCGCGGGCCCCCGCTCCCTCCTCCCCAAAGACCAGATCTTGGCTGCTTAAAGCGGCTGCTTCAACCGGGTTGATTAAGCACTGGGGCCCGCCCCCCCTCCTCCCCCCGGTGGACACACGAGCTGCTGCTGTACGTGTGTGAGTTGTTTTCTCGAGGCGCCCCCCTGGGAATGAAACAAAGGGTATGTAGGCAGCTGAAGTGGGATCATGCGGAATCTTATTTCGACCTGCGGCCCTCTGTATGTTTCATGTGGTTGCACGCCGAGTGGAACACGTCCACCGCGTCGACAACGAACATACTTTTTCGCGTTGCATGCCAAGTGGAATTCGTCCACCGCGCCCGCAACAGCTCCTCTGCCGCGTGGAATGTGATTCCATTGGTCCGCCAAAATGGGTGTGGAAAGGGAAGGGATTGAGAGGGTTTGCTGAGAGGAGAATGCAGGATTAAGGTCGACTGCGGCTCATGGCGTGCATCCGTGGGGGCATAGAGGGATGGTGCGGTTTGCTGATTGATCATGATTGATAGAAGTCTTTCTGCTCTCCGATGCTGCGAACCCTAGACCGTCGCCGCATCTTGCTAGAACCAAAGCGCGCGCGCAGCGCGCGCGTGGTTCATCGGAGTAGGGCCCGGGGGCGGCCCAGGGCGATGCCTGTAATCTCCATGGGGGGTGCAGGGCGCCCCCGGGAGCGTCCGGAGCGTCCCGGAGGGCCCCTGGGACCGCCAGGAACAGTTCGAGACCGCCCAAGACGGCCCGCGAGCGCTCCAAGACGCGCGTAGATAGCCTCAGGAATGGTCAGGAAGGCCCGAAGACGTTCCAAGAGAGCTCCATGAGGCCCCGAAGGCATCCCAAGAGGCCTCCCAAGAGAGCGCCGACAAACTAAAATCGCTGATTTTCATATTTTTTTCGAGGTTGTTGGCCTTCTCGCTTTTTCGGGGTTCCGACGCTCCAAGACCGTCCAAAAGTCTCCCAAAACCGCTCCAAGACGGCCGAAGAGGCCCCCAAAACCGCCCCAAGACGGCCCAAGAGACCTCCAAAATCGCCCCAAGACGGCTCAGGAGAGCCCCAAGATGGCCCAGGAGCCGCCCAAGACGGTTCCAGCCCCGACAGGGCTCAAGACTGCCTAAGCGAGCCCAGCGGGCCCCGAGAGGGCCCCGCGAGGCCCCAAGAGGCCCCAGAGAGGCCCCCAAGAGCCTCCCCGGAGGCCCCCAAGAGGCCCCGAAGATGCCCAAAAATGGCCCTGAGCGCGCCCCAAGACGCCTCCAGGAGAGCCCAACAGGCCTCCGAGAGGCCCCCAAGAGGCCCACTGGAGGTCCTCAGGAGGTCGTCCCCATCATGTTCCCAGAAGGCGGTCCGGGAACATGATTCCGCGCCTTGGAGGAGTATTCTGCGCTTTCCGAGGCGCCTTGGACGACGTACGTATGTTTCTATATATTGTCCTTCTCCTATGTGCACAATCCTACATGGTTTACGTATGTTTCTCTCTCTCTCTCTCTCTATCTATATATATATATATATATGTATATATATGAATGTATACAAATATATATACATTCATATATATGTATATGCACATGTATATGCGTGTGTGTATATATATACACATATATATGTATGTATGTATATATATATATATATATATATATAGGGGAAGGGGGTCCTGGACCAGGGGGGGCCTCACTTTGCCCAGTGGCTGTGGTCACCCCCCGCCGGAGACGCCAGGACGCTCCCAGGAACCTCTAAAATGGCTCCAGGACGCCCTCAGGACAGCCCAAGAGAGGTCCGAAGCGGCCCGGGAACACTCCAAGACTGTTTAAAAGCTGCCAAAGCGTCCCAGCAGATCTCCGACAGCACTCTCGGGAGGGGCCCAATAGGAAATTGTCACTGATTTTTTGTGGGTTTTGAAAGGTTTTGGCGTTCTCCCCAGTTCGGCTTCCAGACGCTCCAAGGCGGCCCAAGAGGCCCGAAAGACCGCCTCAAGACGAGCCCAGAGGCTCCCAAGAGACCACCGAGACAGCCCAAGAGGGCCCCAAGACGGCCCAGGAAGCTTCCAAGACGGCCCAAAAGAGCTCCCAGAACACTCCAAGAGGAGCCCCAGATGGGGAACACGAACTGACATTTCGAGCCCTCGCCCACCAGAAGCTCCCAAGAGGCCCCCAGGAGTCCGCAAGAGGCCTCGAGAGGCCCCCAGGAAGCGCTTGAGGTTGAAGCGGTGCCTCCTCCTTCCTTTCCTCGTCCTCCTCGTCCTCCTCCTCCTGTTTTGGCCTCCGGAGGCCGCGGGACCTTCGAACATCGATCCCGAGGGGGCGCTCGCGGTTGAAGCTGTGGTGTCCTGGGCGCCCCCCGGCCGCGAGACGCGGTCCAGGGGGAAGCCGTGCCTCCTCTTCCTGCTTCTCCTCCTCGCCCTCGTCGTCGGAGGCCGCGGGACCTTCGAAGATCGACCCCGGAGGGGACGCTCGAGGTGCAGCGGTGGGGTCCTGGGCGCCCCCCCGGCCGCGAGACGCGGTCCAGGGGCGAGTGTCCGGGGCGGGCACTCGAGGTCGAAGCCGTGCCTCCTCTTCCTCCTCCCTTTCCTCCTCCTCCTCCTCCTCGTCCTCCTCCTCGTCCTCCTCCTCGTCCTCCTCCTCGTCCTCCTCCTCGTCCTCCTCCTCGTCCTCCTCCTCCTCGTCTCCTCCTCGTCCTCCTCCTCGTCCTCCTCGTCCTCTTCCTGCTTCTCCTCCTCCTCCTCCTCCTCCTCCTCCTCCTCCTCCCGCGTCGGTCTCCAGAGGTCGCGGGGCCCGGGGGAAGCGGAGCTGAGGCCGTGGTGGCCCGGGCACGCCGGCACCGCCACGCGTCTTGCCCTTCCACTGCGAGCATGCTTCATTCTCAAGGGCTCGAGGGCGCGAGGTGATTCGCGCTTCTCGGTTCGGCTCTGATTCCTCCTCATCCTCCCTTTTCTGCCCTGGGAGGCGGCGCGAGAGCGCGAGGTTATTCGCACTTCGCGCAGCGCGAAACGCGAAGTTGGGAGCCCTTGTTCGTTCCACCAACACGCCGTAGCGCTTCCCAAGAGGCCCCGAAAGACTCCCAAGACGCCGCCAAGGGCCCCGAGAGGCGTCTCAACAGTCCACGGTCCAGTCAACTTCTGACCCACAGCCCAGGCATGGCAATCTTTCTTCAAAGGGATTCCAGGAAGTCCTTTTTTTTTCAAACTTACCCTCGGCTTGTTCTTGCACAACGGGCCATCTTTAAGGCCCCCGTCACCACCGAAGAAAGATCTCAGGAAGCCATCGAGGGCCCAACTACATCGAACACCTAAAGGGAATGTGTGATTTAGTGGTTTCCGCATTTCCCCTTCTACACGTTTCCGAGGCTTGCGCAGGGACTCCGACGAGGTCGTTAGATGCACAAGGCACTTCGAACATTGATTTTCCATGCGTTAGCCTGTCGAGCCTAGCTAGAACTTGAGCGCGCGCGAAGCGCGCGCGATGGTTCTAGTATACATATATATATACACACCCACGCACACGTACAAACACAAACGCCCCCACACACACACACACACACACACACACACACGCGCGCGCACACACACAAGCCCACGCATACAAACACACACACACACACCTATACATATATATATATATATATACACACAGATACACCCACCCACGCTCACGTAGAAACACACGCGCACACGCACACACGCACACACAAACACACAAACACACACACACACACACCTATACATATATATATATATATATATACACAGATACACCCACCCACGTTCACAAAGAAACACACGCGCACACGCACACACGCACACACAAACACACACACACATATATAGAGAGAGAGAGAGACAAAAAAAAGACAGAGAGAGATGCACAACACGCACGCACGCACGCACAACATGCACAACACGCACGCACGCACGCACGCATGCACAACACGCACGCACGCACGCACGCACGCACGCACGCACGCACACACACACACACACATCCACACACACATACACGCACACACGCACGTACACACACACACACACACACACACACGCACGCGCGCACGAACACACCAGCTGCTGCAAGCGCGGTGGTGGACCGAGACGTCGCATCGCGCTCGCCGCCCTTGCAGGAGCACCGTTCGCGAGCCGCGCCGGCGCCACTGCCGCCGAGGAGCCGGAGGCCTCGGGCTTTGGCGCTGCCGTCGCCGCCGCGTTCGTCGGCGCACACGCTGGGCTTGCGGCGGCCATCTACGGCCGCACCGCCAGGACACGCGACAAAGACGTCGAACAACGGACGACAACGACGACGACGACGACGACGACGACGACGACGGCCTCTTCCTCCCAGTTCCCTAACGTTCTGTGATGCTGTTTTGTCCTCTCTTTCCCTCAGCAGCGCTGCGCGTACTCCCCTCCCGCTTGTATCCCGTGCCCGACAGGGAGCTCCACGGGGCGCTTCTATGGCGTGTCCCCGCCCATGTCGGTTCCTGTAGCGTCTCCACGCCCATTTTGGCACCCCCCTCGTGCAGATCGTACCCCACGGGGAGCTCCGCGTAGGGCGCCAGGCGCAATCCCCACACAGATCGTGCCCCGCAGGAGCTCCATGTTAAGCGCCAGCGCATGCGTCCACATGCGATCCAGGGCCAACTTCGGCACCACTCGCACGTGGGGTTCGTGCCCCGTAGGGCGCTCAGCGTGCCCCTGAGCGCCGGTTCCACGAGCCACCGACTCCAGATCTTGAGGAGCCCACGCCTGCCTTGAACAACTGCTCGACGCGGAGATCCCCCATGTGTGCGGTTCACTTCCTGGCACTTCCCGCTGCGCTTGTCCGGGTGACAGAGTTCAGCTTGTGGCGGCGGAGCGCTCCCCGGCGACTTAGCGTTTGGGGTACCCAAGTGCGACGCGCCTGCCAGACCGGGATGATCCCTTTGATTTTGAGATGAGACGCGTCGGGGATGCCAACACCAGCATTTCGCTTAAGACATCCACCTCCCGTCGGCTTCCCTTGCGGTGCCCCAGTGCTCGGCCTGGTACATCGCTGTCATCACGGGGCTCTGGGAATGAGAAGAGTTGGATGTGCAGAGGAAGCGTCTCGTTCGAGACATCCCCACAATCTGGCCGCGAACAGGCAAGTGTCGCATCCCTCTGGCGGCCCGCCCTTGTGGGTGCCAAGTATTTTGTCTGGTGGACCGCGGTGGTCATTGGACTACAAAGCGAGGAGTCGGAGGTGCAAAAACGGGCGCTTCGTTCGAGACATATCCACAGTTTGGTCGCGAACGGGCAAGCGTTGCTCCCTGGTGGCTGATTTTTTTGGTGCCCGCGTGCGACGCCTGGTACATCGCAGTGTTCGTGGGACTGTGAACGGGGAGGAGTCGGGCACCCCAAACAAGCGCAACACTCGAGACATCCTCCCAATCTGGCCTCGAACCGGCAAGTGTCCCCGTCCCTGCCGGCTCCTCCTTGGGTCTGAGTGCGAGCGAGTCTGATTGTGAGTGAGTCTGGGTACGAGCAGCTGGGTGTGAGTGAGTCTGAATGTGAGTGGATCTGAGCGTGAGTGGGCTTAAGTGTGAGTGGTACCGAGTGTGAGTACGTCGGGCGTGGGTAAGCCTTAGTGCGAGTGAGTCTGAGTGTGCGTTCGCCTGGGTATGAGTGAATCTGAGGGCGTATGAGTCTGGGTGAGTGAGTCTGGATAGAGGTGGCCTGAGTATGAATGGATCTGAACGCGAGTGATCTGAATATGAGCTTGCCTGAGTTTGAGCATACGTGTGAACATTACCGGGTCTGGTCTTAGAAATGAGAAGGCGGGAGTGAGACTTGGGCGGAAAGGCCCCACTAGTACCAAGATCCCAGTCTTAGAGAACATGGATAGTTCTCTGCGTGCGCGTGTGCATCTTTCATCACATGACATATGTATATAGATAGATAGATAGATAGATAGATAGATAGGTATATATATAGATATATAGATAGATAGATAGATATATAGATAGATAGATACATCGTATCGAGAGATGGCCCTTGCAGACACTTTGTTGCGAGAAAAGCGCAAACAAGAAACCTGTAACCTCCACCCAGGGCGTGGGGTGTTCCCAAGGCGGCGGGAGAATCCATGCGCCTCCGCCGCCCGCAGCGGCGCAGAAGATGAGTACGCTTCGCGCTTCGGGCTGCCGGGTTGCTCTTCTTCACGGGGCGGCGAGGCAGCACGAAGATCGTGAGCGCTTCGCGCGGCGCACCCGGCGTGGCGCAAAGCTCGCCGGCCTGGATGCTCACAATGCCTCGCCGTGGGAGCACGACAGGGTCGCGCCGCGCCACGGGACACCTCGGGACATCACATCGATATCACTATCGATCTCACTATCGGTCTTACGATCGATCTCACTCAACTTGTCGATCTCACTATCGATCTCACTTGTTGGGACACCATTTGACACCACGGGACACCTCGGGGCCACCGCCGGACGGGCGGGAGGGGGAGAGTCATTTGTCTTGACTTCGCTCTAGCAACGGCGGGTTCATTCCTCTCGGGCGCCCACGCAGTTTCGCCTCGCCCGCACGCGCGACACGAACGAGACGAAACGATTTCCCAGCTGGGGGGTTCCGTTCCTCTGCGATGTCGCACCCCAACCTCCGTTATATATACATATATACAAATACATACATCCCATACATGCATCAGTATGTATCGGAGGTTGGGTGGTGAGATCGCAGTGGAACGGAGACTCCAAACCAGGAAATCGTTCCGTTTCGTTCGTGTCGCGCGTGCGAGCGAGGCGAAGCTGCGTGGCGCGCGAGAGGAATGCACCGGCCGCTGCTAGGGCGAAGTCAAGACAAAATGATTCTCCTCCGCCCGCCCGTCCGGCGGTGGCTCGCGGTGTTTCGCGGTGTCCCGTGGTGTCCCGTGGTGTCCGCCGCTGCTAGGGCGAAGTCAAGACAAATGATTCTCCTCCGCCCGCCCGTCCGGCGGTGGCTCGCGGTGTCCCGCGGTGTCCCGTGGTGACCCGTGGTGTCCCGTGGTGTCCCATGGTGTCCGCCGTTGCTGGGTCGAAGCCAAGACAAATTATTATCCCCCGCCCGACCGTCCGTCCGTCCGTCCAGCAGTGGCTCGCGGTGTCCCGCGGTGTCCCGTGGTGTCCCGTGGTGTCCCGTGGTGTCCCGTTGAGTGAGATCGACAGTGAGATCGATATTGAGATCGATACTGAGATCGAGACTGAGATCGATGTGGTGCCCCGAGGTGTCCCGTGGTGTCCCCTGGTGTCCCATGGTTTCCCGAAAAGTGAGATCGATAGTGAGATCGATAGTGAGATCGACAGGTGTCCCGTGGTGTTCCGTGGTGTCCCGTTGAGTGAGATCGATAGTGAGATCGATAGTGAGATCGATGTGGTGTCCCGAGGTGTCCCGCTGTGTCCCGTGGTGTCCTATGGTGTCCCGTTGAGTGAGATCGATAGTGAGCTCGGTAGTGAGACTGATAGTGAGATCGAGAGGTGTCCCGCGGTGTCCCGTGGTGTCCCGTGTTGGCCCGTGGTGCCCCGTGGCGTCCCGTTGAGTGAGATCGATAGTGAGGTCGATAGTGAGATTGACAAGTGTCCCGTTGTGTCCCGTGGTGTCCCGTGGTGTCCCGTTGAGTGAGATCGATACTGAGATCGATTGAGTCAGATGTTGGTTCCCCCACTCTCCCCCCGACAGCATCTTTATTACCAGAAGGGTGGTCGTATATATATATATATATATATATATATCGTGTATATATATATATATATATATATGTATATGTATGTACGTGTGTATGTATGTATACTGGCATTCGGCCCATCCCGCCACCGTGCCTGGGTCGTGAAGCCTATTGGATGTTCGTTGGGATCTCGTGGGAGGCCTCTCGTGGGCCTCGTGGGGGCAGTTGTGAGGCCTCTTGGCAGTTGGTTGGGGGCCTTTGGGGGCCTTTTGTTGTTATTTTGGGGGCCTCGTGGGGCCTCTTGTGTCGGGCCGGGCGAAAGGGGGGGATTGGGAAAGGGGGGGTTACGAAATTTGCTGCATGCAGCTGGTTTCGGCCTCACCGAGGGGCCCATTCCTCGATACATGGCCGCCTCCGGCGCCGGGAGGCGCTGGGAAAATCAGCTACGCGAGCTGATTCTCAAACCCCCCCTTTGCTATCCCCCCCTTTCGCCCGACCCGATTGTGGGCCTCTTGGGGGCCTCTTGGGCACCTCTTGTGGGCCTCCTGGGGGCCTCTCGGGGCGGAATACTCGGAGTGTCGGTTCGTGTTCCCTCTCTTGGGCTCCTTTTGGGGCCGTGTTGGGTCTCTCTTGGGCCGTCGTGGGCGCCTCTTGGGACGTCTTGGGGCGCTCTGAGGCCGCCTTGGGGCCGTCTTGGAGTGGTTTTGTGGGCCCCTGGGGGCGCCCTGGAGCGTCGGAAAACAGGAAAGGCGAGAACGCCCACATCCTTCCAACACCTAAGGGGAAACACGTATGTTCGCCTCTTGGCGCCCTCTTGGGAGGCCTCTCGGAGACACATTGGGGCGTTTGGGAGGCCCCTGTCAATGGCGTGAAAAACGCCCCTACCCTGGTTTACGAGGCGCTGTGCGCTGAACCTCCTGTGGGCCGACGCGGTAAGCCCTGCATATCGCGCGTGCCGCGCGGCGTCCTTTCGGCTCCTTGGGCCTTTGGGAGCTCCCAGGAGGTAGACAGACCACGTACTTGTGACCCAGGGTAGGGGCGTTTCTGCATCCCTCAATGTAGGGGGACATGCCCGACCTGACATGAAGTCGGGCCTGTCCCTCTGCAGGGGGGATACTCAAAAGCACTCAGAACAAATAGTCTGGGGACGACTGTTGTTTGCTATGTTTGATTGTTGCTTCTCGAGTTTTCGATCGTTGGGCCATCTTGAAGGACACGCCCGCGCCGTGCCCAGCGGCACGGCGGCGGATGCGTCCGCACCCGCGGCCCCACGGGCGGGGCCCCTGGGCCGCGACCCCGCGCACAGGGGGCCTGCTTCCGCGGATGCCTCGCGCGGGAGGCACCCCCCGCGCGGCCACGCGTCCGCGGGATCGCGCACCAGAAGGCCCCGAGGAGGAGGAGGAGGAGGAGGAGGAGGAGGAGGAGGAGGAGGAGGAGGAGGAGGAGCGAGGAGGAGCGAGGAGGACGAGGAGGAGGACGAGGAGGAGGAGGAGGAGGAGGAAGAGGAGGAGGCGGCGGAGGAGGAGGAGGAGGAGGAGGAGGACCTGGGCTTCCCCGGAGGGCACACGGAAAAGCGCCCCAGAGGGCGCGAGGGCCGCCGAGAAGTCCCGCCGCCTTCCGAGCAGGCCTTCCCCTTTCTCGTTCCCCCCCCCCTCGCTCGCCGCCGACATCTACTCCGACCCCATCTGGGAGGCCTAGACTCCTACTCTCCCCGCGCGGCACCATGGGCGCTCCGCCGTCGCGGGGCGCCCGGCCGATGGCCCGCGGCTGGACGTCCCTTTGTTGCGCGGCAGGCTCGAGCCGCCACGACCCTGGACACACCGCAGCTCTTCCAGCGCGCGGGTCCTTCGCCATCCCACGGGCAGCGAACACCTCCGCATCCGCGCCCTGGCGGTCTGGACGGGCACAAGCTCTCGTCGAGCTCAGAAGGAAGGAGGAGGGGGAGGAGGACGGGGTGGAGGAAAGGGAGGAGGAGGAGGAACTGGAGGAGGAGGAGGAGGAGGAGGAGGAGGAGGAGGAGGAGGAGGAGGAGGAGGAGGAGCGAGGAGGGGGAGGAGGAGGAGGAGGAGGAGGAGAGGAGGAGGGAGGAGAAGCGAGAGGAGGAGGAGGAGGAGGACGAGGAGGAGGAGAGGAGGAGGAGGAGGAGGAGTGAGGAGGAGGAGGGGGGGGGGGAGGAGGAGGGGGGGGGTGGGAGGAGGAGGAGGGGGAGGAGGAGGGAGGAGCGAGGAGGGGGAGGAGGAGGGAGGAGGGATGGGAAGGGGGAGGAGGAAGGCCTCTCATGCATGATGCTGCACGGGGATGGCAGGAGAGAGGGGCGGAGAGCAACGCTCCAGGAGGGCGGAGGGCAAGTACACGGAGTCCGCCGTCGACGCCAAGCTCTTCGAGCAGGTGTACCTGGACTATACCACCGAGTACCTCAAGGGCCCCATGTACGCCCACCGGGAGAAGGCGCAGGGCGCACGTCCAGACTACCCCGGCAACCCGCTCTACAAGAACGGCAAGATGACGAGCAACGTCACCGGCAACCTGAAGACGTTCAGCTCCAACGAGCTCATGTGAGGCGGTCAGAAAGGGCGTCGTAGTCGACCCATCAGGGGCGAGGCACCTCGCGCGCGGCCGAGGGCGCCCGCGGAAGCCGGCGGAAGCCCAGCGAAAGCCGGCGGCAGCACAGACAGACCCCCGGCCCACTGGCACCCATGGCTTCTGCACTCGGCCATGTATCTCCACCAGCGGCGCGACACTAATCACGAGGTAGCGACCACCCAGAACATTCTGAAGCCCTCGGCCCCGAGAGTGCGAGACTTCCGTCCTGCCGTTTCGGGGGGTCGTGCTTTGTGCCTCACGCCGGATCGAGCCAGCAGGGCCGTAGGGCCAGGAACCTCGGGGCTCGAGTGCCGAGGGGGCGAATGCAGACGAGGGTCAGCCAGAGCGCCAGATCTCCCAGGATCCTGCAGAGCTTGCCCCGGACCTCCGAGACATGCTGGGCATACAATATAGAAGGAGGAGGAGGAGGAGGAGGAGGAGGAGGAGGAGGAGGAGGAGGAGCAGGTTCTTGCAGGACCCTGCAAAGCCCGCCTGGCCTCGGTTTGCATGGACCCACCCGCGTCCGCAGGGGCCTTCAGCCCGCGGAGCGGCCCTCGCCTCGCTCCCGCCGGGCCCCCTCCGCGGGCCTTCCGCCTCCTCTTCCTCCTCCTCCTCCTCCTCCTCCTCGGCTCCTCCCCTCCTCCTCAGACCCTCTTTCCTCCTCCTCAGCCCTCTCCTCCTCCTCCTCCTCCTCCTCCTCCTCCTCCTTTCCTCCCCTCTTCTCCTCCTCAGCCCTCTTTTCTCCTCCCACGCCTTCTTCCTCCTCCTCTTCCTCCTCCTCCTCCTCTTCCTCCTCCTCCTCCTCCTCCTCCTCCTCCTCAGCCCCCCTCCTCCTCCTCAGCCCCCCCTCCTCCTCCCCCTCCTCCTCCCCCGCCTCCTCCTCTTATGGGGGGGGAGGGGGGGGCCCGGGGGCCTCGCCGCGCGCCGCGTGCTGCGGCGCGCCTTGGCGCGCGGCCCAGGCTGCGGGTGGTGGTGGTGGTGGTGGGGGGCTCGAGGATATGGCCAGCCACGCGCAGAGCGGGGTGGAGGGGAGGGGGGGAAGGCGCCCTCGAGTCGAAGGGAAAAGAACGCCAAACATTAGTTTTTGGCGCTCCGCGCGAGTTTCTTCGATCCGCGCGGGGGCCCCCCTGGCGGCGCCTCCGGCGCCGCCCCCGGAGCGCTCCGCGCGGGAGGGGGGTCCGGCGCGGACCCAAGAACATCGCGCGAAGAGCTAAAAGCTTATATGTTTACGCAGTTGTTTCTTTTATCGAAGGAGGCCTCCCAACTCCCCCCAGCTCCCAACTCCCCCCAGCCCCTTCTCTGTAGATGTAGGGCCGGTGCCCTCTAAGAAGTAGCCTCTTTCTAAGAAGACTTCCCCCCTCTCCCAACCGCCTTGTGCGCGCCGCCAAGATGGGGGGGGGTGCTTCGAAAATGGTTCCCTGTCAGCGTTTCGGTATGGTGGGCTCGAATCAGAGTGAGGAGGCCGAACGGGCATTCGTTGTCCCTGGGAGCGTGGTTGAAGTGGGGTCCCACGGTGCGGACTCTTGTTGCGTTGTTGTTGCGTTGTTCCGTTGTACTCGTCGTCGTCGTCGTCGTCCGCGACCCGCCCGCGAACCACCCCCGACTCACCGGCGACCTACCCTCGACCCGCCCACATTGCTTTGACGAAGAACTCGGCGCCTGCGGCAAGCTCGTTGTCTGTCGAGACAAATCGGCTCCTGCGGCGGGCTTCTTCAGAGCCTTGCAGACTGCCGACGATCCCGCCGCCCCCTCACTCGTGTCCGCGACCGCGGGGTTCCAAGTTGTGATGAGCAAGGGCCGCAGAAGAGTCCCAGACGCCTGGCCTGGCAGCCGTCTCGTCTGAGTCTTCCTCAAAATCCATCCAGGAGTCGTGCTCTCGATCTTCTCTCTCTCCCTCTCTCTCTCACCTTCGTCCAGGCTGCTAGTAGGGTTAAGTCGGGCCTGTCCCTCTACAGGAGAAGTCTTCAAAAATAGTCGAAAATCGTCTGGGAACGTTTTTTGAGTATTGTTGATCATTTTGGGAGCATTTTTGGAGTACCTTCAATTTCCCCTTCTTCATATTTAAACAATTGTAGGGGGACAGGCCCGACCTACTATTAGGGTGCTTCGCCGGGGCTGCTTTCTCTTCCGAATCGTGCCCGTCGATCGAGAAAGCGGCGAGGCACTCGGTGGATCTCCCGGCCAGGGGGGAGATGCCGAAAGCGTTTGGCCGTGCAAGCTGGGAGTCTCTCTTGAATGACGCGCTGCCTCCTCGCCTCCTCCCAATTTCCCCCGGCTCCTTGAGCCTCTCACCTCGATGGCGACGACGACGACGACGACGACGACCCCGACGACAGGTACCTCTCCATGCTGTTCTTCGGCATCGGTCTGTATGGCAACCTCCAGTTCCTGTATTTTGACCCGCAGTTCCCGAGGGTGGACTCAGGCCTCAACTTCAACGTCTCCTACATCGTGGAGCCCCCTAGGAGGAGGAGGAGGAGGAGGAGGAGGAGGAGGAGCAGGAGCAGGAGGAGCAGGAGGAAGCGGAGGAGGACGAGGAGGGGATGCGGAGGGGCATCCGAGGTTATCGGATGACTTTGACCCGTTGAGGCCTCCAGTAACCTGGGGAGTCCTCTAGGGGACCCCCTGGGGACTTCCGAGGAGTCACTTTTCTTGCCGATGTCCTTCTTCTTCCACATCGCGTGCTACATTCAGAGGAAGAACGGCAAGTGAGCCGCGCTCGGTGCTCCTCACCTGTCTCCTCATGCCTCTCTCCATTCATCCTTAACCTCTCGTTCCTGTTCCTTCTCCTTCTCCCCCTGTTCACCTTCCTCCTTGTCACCCCCCCACGTCCTTTCATCCCTTCCACTCTTCATCCTCATCCTCTTTTCCTCCCTCCCTCCTTCCTCCTCCCCTCCTCCTCCTCCTCCTCCTCCTCCTCCTCCTCCTCCACCTCCACCTCCTCCTCCTCCTCCTCCTCCTCCTCCTCCTCCTCCTCCTCCTCCCCCTTTCCCTCATTCCACCCGGACCGTCACCACCATCATCATGTCCATCGTTACCCTTCATTTCAGTCGCACTACTACGTGTCAGTTCGACCTCTCCTCGTTCTCCTGGCTTTGGTAGCGCGCCCCGATGGCGCGCACCAGTCTCGCCGCCCTTCCCGTGGACCACCCGGCGCCCAGCGCTGGGCTGGCATCCCGTGGTGCACACGCCCCCTCCCCGGACACTGCGGCGGCCGCTCTTGCTGGGTGCTTTCGACGCCGCCAGTCCTCAGGAGGGAAAAAAACACAGACACAATTAATCGTCGAATTCCCAGAAAATATGAGAAAATATGGGAAGTGGTGGGGAAGACAAAAACCCAGAAAATATAGGAAAATATGGGGAATCTTTTTATTTGCGTGTATTTATTTGTGTGTCCCAGTTTCCCTTCAAGTCCATCTGCTGGTGAGCCGCTGGAGGCCGCGAGGACGGGCCTTGAGCGCTGCCGGGCCCTCCTGGCGTGCACTCTCGCGGGCAAGCGGAGCGCGCCCGGCGCGCTGGGAGTCATTGCGGCAGGCCAGCTCTGCGGAGGGAGGCGGCACGGAGGCCTGCAACCCCCCGCGCGAAGCCGCTCGCCCGCCGCCGTCTCGGCCTGGCCCCCCCATCTCCAGGCTCAGGGCCTCCTGTCCTGAGAGGCGTCTCCAGAGTTCTGGAGGCACTGGCCCGAGTCGAGGGAGGACCCCCCCCCCAGGCCAGATCATTCGCGTTTGCTGAGCGGCCCTGGGGAGTGTTTACTATATATGCAGTCCTGGCCTGGTCGATTCCTGCCATGGGTGCGTTTACTAAACGGCTTCGCGTGTCGGGGTGATTGTTATGGAGGTGGATTGTCTGCCCTCTACCGAGTGTGGGCAGTGCTTCGCATCCCTGGTGGGTGGCCCCTCTCGGTGCCTGTGGCCAGGACGGACTGCCGCGCCCACTTTTGCGCGCGGCGCGAGAGGCGTGCCCCGCGCTGGACGTGGCAGTCGGCCATCCCCTGCCGCTCGCCCTCAAAGGGCGGCTCGCCCATTGAAGGGAGCCGCTCGCCCTCGAAGGGCGCCCGCCCTGCGCAGGGAGCCGCTCGCCCTCGAAGGGCGGCGCCCCTGCCGGGGGCAACGCCCCCGCGCAGGCCTCGGCAGGGTGCTTCCTTGGTCGCAGGGGCCTGCTCTCGTCGCGGCCCCGCGCGGCGCACCACGTCCGCTCCGCCGGGTGTCGCGGTGGCGCAGGCAGCTCGGCCGGCCCCTCGACGCCCCCCCCGCCCCCCCCCCTCCCCCGAGCCTCCGCCCAGCATGCTACGAGCGGCGGCTCGCGAGGCCGAGGCTGCAGCAGGGGCTGCCAGCACGGTGCCGATGGGATCGCACTCGGCGCAGCCGCGCTGCGGCATGCTCCACGGGTTCTGCTTCAGACCGTTCAGGCCCTATGGGGTCGCTGATCAGGGTTCTGAGACGGTAGCTGGCTCGTCCTTGAGATCCGACGTTGCAAAACATATGCAACAACGTAAACAAAAACACGCCCCGCGACCCGAACCGCATCTTGCTGCGTCATTTCTCGAGCCGGAACGATCTGTGAGGGCCCCTGTGCCCGAAGTGGAGCGAAGCCCCCGGGTGTGAACAAAATTGCAGCGCCAGGATCTCAGGGGTAGCCGCCGTGCCGGCTGGTTGGGCCCGCTTGCATTGCCGAGCAGATGCGTAGCACCATTTGGGCGTCTCTGGGAGGGGGTTGTTCATGTGGTTCCAAAGGGGATCCCAGGGGAAGGGACTTTTGAGACGGCCGATGCCGATTTCTCAAGTCCGCTCGGCTTCGCCCACACGGGCACCGCATGACGCTTTCACCCGCACGATTCGAAGTCTCAGATGCAACGCCGCGGTCTCAGAAGTCCGTTTCGTTGGCGTCCCTTCCGGAAGCGGATCAGGTGTGCGTCTCCTTGCGACCTGCAGGGGCCTCCGCGGCCAGCTTTTTCGGCAGCGCCCCAGCCGGCGACCCAGACCAAGAATGAAGTGGGGCACGTCCCTCTACAGGAGGAATATGCAAAAATAGTCGAAAGACAGTCTGGGGATGATTTTTTGACTACGTTTGATTATTTTGGATTACTTCTTGTCTATGTTTCATGTTTCTTCCAACATCCCCCCGTAGGGGGACATGCCCGCTTGCCCCCAGGGTGCCTTTCGAGGGTTTTGCCATGGAAGACAGCGCGACGCTCCCGCACAAATGGTCCGTGGATGTCACCTGGTGTCTCAGGGTTGGGCTTCTCGTGGAAGGTTTCTTGTGGTCGAGCTCCTTTTGAATTTTCAAGCATTCGAGGTCTTGTGGGCCTCCCGGCGCCCGCTTGGGCCGTTGTGGGTCTCTCTTGGGCCATCCTGGGGCGCCCTTGGGCCGTGCGGCGCCTTCCGAGGCCGTCTTGGGGGCGTCTCGGGGCCTTTGAGCTGCCTGGGGCCGCCTGGCGGCGCCCGCGTCCTCCCTCGGCGCTGCCGGTGCCAGCAGCCACCCCTCGGCGCTGGTCCGACGGGTGCTCGCTCGTGGACTTCTGTCACGTGCAGTCTGGGGCTGCGCGCCGCGCCCGCGTGCATGCGCTGTTTTCGCTGTTTTGTTGCTGTTGTTGTTGTTGTTGTTGCTGTTGTTGTTGTTGTTGTTGTTGGTGGTGGTGGTGGTGGTGGTGGTGGTGTTGGTGTTGGTGTTGGTGTTGTTGTTGTTGGTGGTGGTGGTGGTGGTGTTGGCGTTGTTGTTGTTGTTGTTGTTGTTGTTGTTGTTGAACATTATTTATTCTAAAGAATAATTATTGTTGGGCTCCCTGGTGCGCGCCCCCCCTGCGCCGCCTAGGCCGCAGCTACATTTTCATCATTTTCGTGAGGAAGCCTCAGAAAAGAGGGTGTGTACAGGATCCGGTTGTTTTGTTGTAATCCGCTTTCCCTTGCAAAAAACAATAGAAAATGACATTTCTTGTTCTAATATAATCAAATTTCAAGAATCCCTTGCAAAAAATAAGGTAAAGTGGACATTCGCGCGCGCAAGACGAAATCCTTCCAAAACCTTAGTGTTCGCAGCGATTTTAACATAAAAACATCAAAAAACCAATGGTTTTTCAACAAAAATTTGTCAAAATCTCATCCCGCGCGCTCTTGCGGATTCGTAGGAAACCCAACACTTTTTAAACATTTCTGTCAAACGGGCTTTTGCGAGCAACTTTTTCGAACTTCTGCAACAACGGTTGCGCACCTGCCAGGGCCATCATCCCTGTCAAATAATACCATGCGGGACACATTCGTTTTTTCTTCGCGCGCGCACGCCGTCGTCGTCGGCCGCGGGGCCCTGAATAGTAGCCACGGTCGTCCGCATGCCACGAAGTGAAGTGTCCGAACGTCATAGGGCGGGAAGCTGGGTGTGGGTGGTGGCGAAGAGTCGTTTGGAAATTTGGTAGAGCTTGAACCGGCCCCCCCACAAAGTGGGGGTATTGCCCGCCTCCTATGAAAACCCTGGCACTGGTGAGAACGGAGTGTCCCCACGTGCTAGTAATTGTTGTTGTTGTTGTTGTTGTTGTTGTTGTTGTTGTTGTTGTTGTTGTTGTTTTGTTGAACATTATTTATTCTTAAGAATAATTATGAATAATTATTGTTGGGACCCCTGGTGCGCGACCTCTGCGCCGCGCCTAGGCCGCAGCTACATTTTCATCATTTTTTTCGCGAAAGCTTCAGAAAAGTGGGATTGTGTCCGGATCCGGTTGTTTTGTTGTAATCCGTTTTCCCTTGCAAAAAACACTATAAAATGAAAATTCTTGTTCTTACTTGATCAAATTGCAAGAATCCCTTGCAAAAAATAAGGTAAAGTGGACATTCGTGCGCGCAAGACGAAATCCTTCCAAAACCTTAGGTTTCGTAACGATTTTAACATAAAAACGTCAAAAACCCAATGGTTTTTTAAGAAAAAATTGTCAAAATGTCCTTCCGCGCGCGCTGTCCGAATCCCACAAAACCAATGGTTTTTCAACATTTATGTTACATGAGCTCGCGCGAGCTACTTTTTCTTGTTCTAACATAATCAAATTTCAATAATCCCTTGCAAAAAATAAGGTAAAGTGGACATTCGCGCGCGCAAGACGAAATCCTTCCAGAACCTTAGGTTTCGTAACGATTTCAACATAAAAACATCAAAAACCCAATGGTTTTTCAAAAAAAATGTCCAAATTTCATCCCGCGCGCGCTGTCCGACTCCCACAAAACCAATGGTTTTTCAACATTTATGTTACATGAGCTCGCGCGAGCTACTTTTTCTTGTTCTAACATAATCAAATTTCAATACTCCCTTGCAAAAAAAAAGTAAAGTGGACATTCGCGCGCGCAAGACCAACAAAAAACACGACGATCTCAGGAACTTGCCCCAAAAATGTGACCAACTCCGCTCTCTCTGTCTCTCTCTCTGTCTGCTCTCTGTCTCTCTCTCTGTCTGTCTGTGTCATGTATTGTATGTCACAATTGCAGGATGCTGGGCACACGCGCGCCCCGAATAAGTGACCAAGTTCTGTGGGTGTGTACCCCACGCCAGTGTAGTAGCCACGGTCGTCCGCACGCCACGAAGTGAAGTGTCCCAACGTCATAGGGCGGGAAGCTGGGTTTGGGTGGTCGCGAAGAGTCGTTTGGATATTTGGTAGAGCTTGAACTGCCCCCCCACGAAGTGGGGGTATTGTCTCGCGTCGCATGAAAACCCTGGCACTGGTGAGAACACTGAGCGTTCGGGTAAAATGATTGTTGTTACTGTTGTTGTTGTTGTTGTTGTTGTTGTTGTTGTTGTTGTTGTTATTGTTGTTGTTGTTGTTGTTGTTGTTGTTGTTGTTGTTGTTGTTGTTGTTGCTGCTGCTGCTGCTGTTGTTGTTGTTGTTGTAGTTGTTGTTGCTGTTGTCCAGCGAGCGCCCCGGCGCGGAGCGCGCCGGCGGTGCGCGCCCGAGCCTGCCCGAGCGGTGCCGCGTGCTTGCCGCCCGCGCTGTGCACTGCGAGCCGGCGGGGAGATCGGCCATCGGCCCCCCCCCCCTTACTCCTCCTCCTCCTCCTCCTCCTCCTCCTCCTCCTCCTCCTCCTCCTCTCCTCCTCCTCCTCCTCCTCCTCCTTCCTCCCTCCTCCCTCCTCCCTCCTCCCTCCTCTTCTGAGCTTCCGTTACTTTGGACGGCCAGAAGCGCAACAGTTTGCAACAATTACACCTCCTGCGCCCAGCCAGTGTCCTCCACTGCGACCCCCCCCCCACCACACTGCGCGCAGCCAGGCTTGCCCGCCCCAGGGCGGGCGGAGAGGGCGGCGGGGGGGGGGACGCGGACGTGGGGGGGCGCTGACGTGGGGGGAGAGGGCGAGCGAGAGGAAGCAGAACAGACAGAGAGCGGGATAGAGAGAGAGAGAGAGAGAAAACATCAGAAAACAACAAACAGAAAAAGAACAAAGCAAACAAAGCAAGAGACCAGGAGACGGGGAGACCAGCGTGCCACCGCGCGCTGTCCGCACCCCGCGGTGTCCGCACCCCGCCCCCTGCGGCGTGCGGCTGGCGCTGCGGAGCGTCCGGCTTCGGCCACGGCGGCCGGCCATCGGGGTGCGGCCGCGCGCGGGACGCGCCTTCGACACGCTCTCGGCCACGCGCAGAGGGGGGTCAGGGGGGGAGGGGGAGGGCTTCTGAGAAGCACCCCCTGCTCAGAAGGCGCGGGCCTCGTCTGCAGGTGTGGGGCCAGCGCCTTCTGAGAAGCAGCCTCCGTCTCAGAAGCCCTCCCCCCTCCCCTCCCTCCACCCCCCCTTGTGCGCGCCGGCAATGCTCTTGCTCGGGCCGGGGGGCTCCCGGGCTCCTCGGAGGCCCCGAGGGGCCCCGCAGGTGGGCTGCTCGGGGTGCCCTGGGTTCCTCAGGGTGCTGCGCGGAGCCCCCCGCGGCTGTGAGGGGCGCGCGGGGTGTGCCCGCTCGTGCGGCGCGGAGGGCGCGCCGGGCCTGGGGCTCACGCGCCCCGTCGGCCGCAGGAGGCGCGCCTACAGCGGAAACCGATGCCAAGAGGCACCCTGCTCGCCTCCGGGGTGCCCTGGGTTTCCTGGGTTTCGATGGCTTCGCAGTGGACAGCGTGACGCTCCCACACCAGAGATCAACAGACGTCCTGGGGTGGGTCTCAGGGTTGGGTTTCTTGTGGAAGGTTTCGTGTGGTCGAGCTCCAACTGATTTTCAAGCCTTTGAGGTCTTGTGGGCCTCCGGGCGCCCGCTTGGGCCGTTGTGGGTCTCTTGCGCCATCCTGGGGCGCTCTTGGGCCGTGCGACGCCTTCCGAGGCCGTCTTAGGGGCTTCTCGGGGCCGTGGAGCTGCCTGGGGCCGCCTGGCGGCGCCCGAGTCCTCTCTCGGAGCTGCCGTTGCTGGCAGCCGCGTGGGGGCAGCGCGCCGGAAGACGGGCGCCTGGCGCCCGACTGGACGACCAGAGAGGGCGACTAACTTGTTCCTCTTCCTCCCTCCTCCTCCCCCTCCTCCTCCGTCTCCTTCTCCTCCTCCTCCTCTTCTTCCCCCTCCCCCCCTCGTCCTCCTCCCGACCATCCTCCTCCTCCTCCTCCTCCTCCTCCTCCTCCTCCTCCTCCTCCTCCTCCGTCTCCTCTTCTTCTTCCTCCTCCTCCTCCTCCTCCTCTGTAACCTCGCCCTCTTCCCGCTCCCCTCCTCCCCCTCGTCCTCGTCCCCAAGCCTTCTCCTCTCTCCTCCTCCTCCTCCTCCTCCTCCTCCTCCTCCTCCTCCGTCTCCTCTTCTTCTTCCTCCTCCTCCTCCTCCTCCTCCTCCTCTGTAACCTCGCCCTCTTCCCGCTCCCCTCCTCCCCCTCGTCCTCGTCCCCAAGCCTTCTCCTCTTCCTCCTCCTCCTCCTCCTTCTCCTCCTCCTCCTCCTCCCCCACTCGCAGTCCCCCCAGACGCTCCACCCTCCTCCTCCTCCATGTGCATCAGCTCCACAGATGTACGGCGGTTGGTTTTCAAAATGTGGCTCTCGCTTCAGCGCGGCTCACATTCGTTTTGAAACCTTGCAAGAGGTTCACGGATTGAGGGCGGCTCATTTTCAAAATGTGGCTCTCGCCTTAGCGCAGCGCACATTCGCCAACATTTGCAAAAGTTTCACGGATTCATGGCGGATGGGTTTCAATATGTGGTTATCGCCTTAGCGCGGCGCACATTCTTGTCAGAAAATTGCAAGAACTTCACGGATTGAGGGCGGCTTCTTTTCAAAATGTGGCTCTCGCCTTAGCGCAGCGCACATTCGTTATACATATTTGCAAGAGCTTCACGGATTCCCATCATCAACGTACCAGAAAAAGCGTGTTGGAAGGATTCCGGATTATGCGGGTGCAACAGTTTGGTTGATTCTTTATGTTGACCACGGTCATGGCACGTTTCATGATGGCGGTCTGGCACGTTTCATGATCGTCAAAACGCGACAGTCAGGTTGATCCGTGGCGTTGGAATCCCGAGAATAATGTTTTGGCATACTTCAAGGTCTTCAAACGGATGTCTTCCAACGAGGCAGTTCCTTCTATGGAAATGAACCGTTGTATGGGGCCTATAAACAGGGAGCTTGGAGGGAGGGCTTACTCATCGTTGATGACTCTTGGGTTTACACTGGTCCTCCTCCTCCTCCTCCTCCTCCCTTGCTTTTTCCACCTCCGATCTCCTCCTCCTCCTCCTCCTCCTCTTCCTCCTCCTCCTCCTCCTCCTCCTCCTCCTCCTCATCCTCCTCCCCCTCCTCTGCTTTCCCCACCTCCCTCCTCCTCTGTAACCTCGCCTTCCTTCTGCTCCACAATTACTCAATATGAATACTACTCTCCCTCTTCCCCTGATGACGGCCTGGGAGTGTCCGACCCCCCCCGCGTACTGTTCTTTTGCACACAGGTTTCCCCGGAGTTGGGTTTTCGCCTGCGTTTTTTCAAAATGCTGCTCTCGCTGAGGCGCCGGCCTCATTTTCGGGCCCCGCTCGTTCCGAATCGTGCTCCCGCTGCAGCGCTGGCCTCATTTCCGTGCTTCCGCTCGTGCCGAATCGTGCTCCCGCTGCAGCGCTGGCCTCATTTCCGCGCTTCCGCTCGTTTCGACTCGTGCTCCCGCTGCAGCGCTGACGTCATTTCCCGTGCCATGCCACGGCGTGCAATGCAATGCTAGGTTGATACTACGCTTTGCGGTGCTCTTCTACGCCATGCCATGCCGTACTCTACAATGCATCGCGTACCCTTTCGGGATCATTGCCCTGCTCGACATCCGACTGTGCGAGTAGAGAGGGGATCTACGCCATGGTAAGGGATGGGAGGGAGGGGTAGGATGTCAGATATGACGCGAGCGCACCTAGCTTGCCTCCTCCCCCTCCTCCTCCTCCTCCTCCTCCTCCTCCTCCTCCTCCTCCTCCTCCTCCTCCTCCTCCTCCTCCTCCTCCTCCTCCTCCTCCTCCTCCCTCTCCTCTGTAACCTCGCCCTGTGCCTGCTCCCCTCCCCCGCCTCCGCCCGTCCTCTGCGTTTCCCGCGCCGCGTGCCGCGCCCATGCGCGAGCGGCAGGCGGGCCCCGCCCGCGAGCCGCACCCCCCCCGGGCCGCGGACGGCCTTCCATTGGATGTTTTTAGAGTGGGGGCCCGCCACCTCCTCGCCGTCCTCGTCCTCCTGCCTTTGCTGCTGCCAGGCATCGTCTCCACCCCTTCCCTCGTCCTGCCGTCCCTGCCCTCCTTCCCCCCTCCCCCCGCACTCCCGCTTCTCTCCCCGCCGTCCGTGCCGCTGCCGTCCATCCTGTTCCCCCCTCCTCAGCGCTCGGCCGCCGCCACTTCTCCTCCTCCTCCTCCTCCTCTTCCTCCTCCTCCTCCTCCTCCTCCTTCTCCTTCTCCTCCTCCTCCTCCTTCTCCTCCTTCTCCTCCTCCTCCTCCTCCTCCTTCCGAGTCCGAGGAAGAGGATGGGGGCGAGGATGGGGACGAGAAGGAGGAGGAGGAGGAGGAGGAAGAGGAGGAGGTAGGTAGAAGGAGGGGGAGAAGGGACAGGGAGGGAGAGGGGAGGAGAAGGAGGACGTCGACGATCACTTGTATCTGCTAGTAGCAACAGCACCGATTGGGTCAGCAGGAGGATGAGGGGATCAGAGCAGGGTAGGGGAGATACGGACGACGAACAAGAGGATTGAGGGGGGTGGAAGGGAATGGGTGGAAGGGAATGGGGGCAGGCGGGGGAAGGAAGAGGTGCGCGAAGAGCAGGACGCGGGGGAGGATGACGCACGTTCGTGAGGGCTCAACCCAAGCATGAGCACTCGGCCGTTCGAGGCGACTTGCCCGTGCAGACTTTCTACCTGCACGCATGTATGCCCCACGGTCGGACCATGCTGTCCGCTCCGATCTCCCCCCCATCAAAACAAGGAATATGCAGCAACACTCGCGACGTGATGTCCTCATTCGGCAGCATGGCCGACGACGTGTTGTCCCACGTTCTGCCCCACATGCGCGTGCTGCAGTGGAGCTGCTGCTGCTGCTGCAGGAATGTCACGCGTCGCGAGAGACATGTGCAATCCCAGGGGCCAGGGCAGCGATTGACTTCGAATACACGAGGGACGAAGGACAGGGAGATATACGAAAGGAGGACGAGGGAGACTGCTGGAGAACGGGGAGGAGAAGGAGGAGAAGGAGGAGGAGGAGAAGGACGAGGACGATGAGGACGAGGAGGACGAGGGAGGAGGACGAGGAGGACGAGCCTGCGGTGAAGAAGAACAGGCGCTCGGGCTGCACAACAAGGAGGACGAGGAGGACAGGGACGAGGAGGACGAGGGAGACTGCTGGAATGCGACGGGGAAATGCGCCACGACGCAGGCCGTGGCCAGCTGCAGCGAGAGGGTCTGGGGGTCTGTGTTCTGCCCAGCTGCTTGGGCAGGCAGGCTCGTTTCATGGGCCGGTGCTCTGCTTTTCGGGTGCAGCACGTGGTCTCCGAGTCATCGCTTCTTTCGAGGTGCATGGAAACCACCTTTCTTGTGACCATGGCTGTTGGCTCGGGCGCGGGTCCTCCTCCTCCTCCTCCTCCTCCTCCTCCTCCTCCTCCTCCTCCTCCTC